GGTTGTCGTCGATCAGATGGGCAGGCGGGTTGAGTTTAATGAGTAATTACGACGAATTTTGACGATACAAGTCGACGCGGGTCGTTACTCGTTAATATGAATACCTAATAAGAATATTTTATTAAAGAAATAAGAATAAAATATTTTGTATTACAATAGTAATAGTGGCGAATTATAAAATAAAATGGAAATGGATGAATCAAACTGAAGTAAAAAACGAAAATGAGGAGCTGAAAAAATCAAAGACAAAAATAAAAAAAAAATACTATTTTTAGAAATATATTAATAATTAAAAATATTAAACTGTTACTGTTAAAGTACAATAATCTACAATTTATTTTATTGATAGAGAATGAGAGAAACAACATATTTTTCAAAATACTTAAATAGGTACCTATTTTTTTTTTTTTTAATATGAATATATACGTTAAATTATTTTAGTGTAATATTCAACTGATATTTAAAATACTAAAAAAAATTACTATCTTCATCTTCAGTATGGTGTACACTTGCCAGTTGCCCCCAATCTCCCAACAAATAGGGGGCCGGTAAAAAAGCATTTTCCCGGGCTGGTCTGAAATTCCAATCCGTCCCTGCCGATAAATCTACATGCAGTATGTCCTTGGTTTTTTTACATTAAATTTATGTGACATAATTTCTGAATAGATCATCTTTGTGTAAACGCCGCATTAATAATTTATATATTAATTTTAACCAGATCGATGACATTTTTAATTAAATAAACTTAACACGATAAAAATTTTCATTCTTCACAAGAAAGATATAAGAAAAATGTTTCCTTATATCTATTTTATTATAAGCAGCATTGTTATAGGTATGAAACAACTACCAATTTTAAATTATTTCTACACTAATAAAATTACCGTCCATTTTTTTAGAAAAGAACAACTGGAATAAATTATGGAGAAATCATTGGTTCCTCATAGGCTTACTAATAATGACCTTTATATTACTCATGCTGAATTTCAAGGATGTTTCATAAAAATTTGGGCAAACTTTTACTCTCAAAAAAGAACAAATTTAGAAAAAAGCGTACAAAATTATGAAAATTACTCAAAGGTATGAATATTAATTAATTAAATTATTATGATATTGTGATAATATATTTACTTTTTTTAAAGGACTGTAATACATTGGATTTATTTGGAAACAAGTTATATGTTTATACTTGGAAAAATGACTTTGAATCAAGAGTTTATAGATGTCGAATTATATATTCAGATTTAGTAGCCAAAACTCACACTATAATCCTCATTGATTATGGCCGGACTATGGTGGCTTCATATTTTGATGTAAGAGAAATAATTCAGGATGTAGATCCATCTTTTTTAATTGATTTATGTCAAAGAGCTACAGTATACACATTTTTGCTGAGTACATATATAAGTAAACCAAAATCAAACAACGACTTGGTTAATATTTTGTGTAATAAATATTACAAATATCGAAGAGACTTTGAAGTTGGTGGAATCACATTCGTATCACTATTTGATGTTGATAAAATGTTAGTTGACAAAGGCATAGCAGATAACATCAATTTGGCTACAATGATCACCATTGCCAAAAGTATGGAATCAACAATTGAGTTAAACAATAAGACCGATATGATCAACAGTTGCCCAATTAATAGCAAAGCTTCAAGCTTTGGTTCTTTCCTACGATCTCAACGTTTAGATAACGTTACTTTAATAGACATAACTGTAACAAGAGTTGTTATAGATAACATTTCAATTCTACTAACAGTCCGGACTCTTGTAAGTAGATTTATGCATGTCTCAAGAGAGATTTTGAATGTATTATTTGTTAAATATTATTAGTGAAAAATGTAAATTTAATTTATTTTTTTGTTTTTTGGCATGAAGACAATAATATATTGGTATTTTTAATATTTTAATTTGCATATAGGTAGTGCATGTGTAATAATTATTCACAACAATGTTTATAATGTAAAGAAAGTAGGTACGTGGATGTCGCTCTGCTGTATAGTAAGGTACAAGTGGGTCACTGTTTAATAGATGGTATTAAATTTGAATTCAATGATACAATATCATTGTATACAAAAAACAATTCTGAGCGAGATAATTTGTCAGTGTAAATATTGTATATTAAAATTAAGTGGTTATTACTTATTATTAAAGACTGAATTTATATTGTCTTAAAATACCTAAAATGTGATGTTAATATTCTCTAAAAAACCTTCAAATATTTTCATTATATTCTCTTAACAATTTAAGAAATATGCTAAAATATGCAAAAATAATCAATAACCATCATTATATGCTTTCGTGCTATATGCTATCATTATACAGGGTGATTTTTTTTATCGAAGAACACTCATTATTTCAAAAAGTATTAATGTTTAAAAAAATATTTTTTTACATAGTTTCAAGTTGTTAAAAAACAATATTTTTATTAAAAAATTATATTTTTAAATATTTTTTATCCTTTTAATTTTTGAAGTTTTTTACTTTTTTGAATGACAACATCTAATTTTAATTTTGATATTCAAAAACAGAATATTTTTCTGAGTATTTCGATCATAAATGAATTTAGGGCAATTAGTTTATGAGTTATAATTATTTAAAGTTTAGATGAGCGGAGTAGAAAGTGGTCCGGGTTACCCCGCGAAATGTTTGTCCCTACTCCGCTCATCTAAACTTTAAATACTTATAACTCATAAACTACTTGCCCTAAATCATTTTTATGTATTAAAATAATAAGAAAAATTTTCTGTTTTTTGAATATCAAATTAAAATTATGTGTGTCATTCAAAAAAGTAAAAAATTAAAAATCAAAGGATAAAAAAATATTTAAAAATATAATATTTTTTATATAAAAATATTGTTTTTTTAACAACTTGAAACTATGTAAAAAAACTATTTTCTTAACATTAATACTTTTTGAAATATGAGTGTTCTTCGATAAAAAAATCCCCTGTATTTGTTATTCTTAGTTATCTATTTATTATGTTATTTCGTCCAATTTGAAACAGAAGTAACTATAAAAAAAACTGTGTACTTTATTATACTTTTGAGTTATTTTGATTACAGAATAATCTGCATACGTGGAACTTCGTTTTAAATCTATAACTATAAAAGTTCAAAACATTTAAATATTTTATACATATTTAACTACAAAATCATTTTTAAATTTGATAAATTATGTCAAAAATCAAACTTTAAATACTTATAAAAAAAATTGAGTCTATATATTTTTTAACTACTATTGTAACAATATATCAAGAACCTTGTATTAATTTTCATGCTTTTTGATCCAACAAAAAACTGACAATGTCCGTAAATAGCTCAAAAAACAGTCAAATATTTTGAAAATTTTATAAAGTATAGGAATTGATAAAATAAACATGATATACATTTCAAGTTATTCATTTTTTAATTACAATAAAATAATAAAATAGCTACTTGAGAAATCAAGTGAATCTTGTAAAAATTCAAACTTTAAACACTCATACAAATTTAATTTAAATTTCTTATGGATTTTTTTTTTGATAAAAATAGATAAATTTATAAGGAATCTTGTATTAGATTTTAAAATTTTAGATTTCAAAGATAATTTTTTGTGAATTTCTGACTCAAAATAATTGTTTGTGATTTTTACATTTTTTGTTATGATTTAAACTTCATAAAAAAAGTTTATAAAAAAAAATTGTGACAATGAATTTTTAATATTTTTCAAATGTCATTGTAACAATATATTAGGTGCATTGTATTACAATTTCAAGCTTTTTTTCCCAACAAATAAAATTTGATTGACATTCTTAGAAAAACAAAAAAACTAATAAAATTGGAAACTGAAAATGTCTATAAACAGTTAAAAACAAATCAAAATATTTTGACAATTTTATAGTGTATAGAAAATGCACAAATATTTATTTATATTGAATATAAACAACCAGTGAAAATGTCAGGTTTATGCAGTCATTTGTTTTAGAGTTCCACTAAAAACCAAAATCATTTTATAAAATCCCGTTTTTCTTAATTTTTTTGTTGTTTTTCTTCCCGTGCTTTGAAAACTTTTGGGAATTTTAAATTTTGAACTTCTGAATGCACATACTTTAGTACTTTCTAATCAAACAAGGTACTGTTGAAGAAAATCGAAGCAGTTTTACTGCTCAAAACACAAGAAACACACATTATTGCACATTATCGCTCCGCTCAGAATCTAAAATTGTTCCTACATAATCAATCAATAAAAAAAAAAAAACCTAAATTACAATGTTTAACACATTGAGTGTCATATTTTAAAGCCATCATTGTTTGTAATAAATTAATACAATTAAACATTAAAAATATACTTATAAAGTTTATAGATAGATAAAACAATGGAACATAACCATACTTCAAAATAGCAAAAACAAATTTAATATCCCAGAATGCATTTATTTATTTTTTATTATTTTTACTTTAGGACAATGAATCTGAAGCATTAACCAATATGTTAAATTCAATTGACAGACAAAATTTAAAACTGGCACCTGTTCTTGAAGTGTACACTCCTTGTTTGATTGTTTTACGTAGCAAATTGGTTAGAGCTATAATTTTAGAAGTAAAAATAGATCAGTTGTATATTGATCTAGTAGATTATGGAATTAAAGAGTTGGTACCTAGGACTGCAGTTTTTGAAATACCTTCCAAGTAAGTTACTATTTTTATATGTGACTAAGTTTATATTTTTACTTCGATAGTATTACCTACCTAGTTATTCAATTTATAATAATATCTGAAAACTTTATTTTTTAGTTGCTATTTAATTGAAATGCGATCTTTGAATGTAATACTAGACAAGCCAAACAATATTATTGTAGATCAAAACATGTTTTATTCCAAAAATATTTTCAAATGCTACCATTAAAAATGGATCCTAATTTTGGTTTATACAAAGTTAAATTATTCAAAAAAATTACTGAAGGCCATACTGATGTATTTAAAGTATCAAATGATACAAATAATTCAATACATATGAAGTCGCAAGAAATGTTTTCAATAACAGAGATAAATGTATGTATTCAGTTTTGAAATATTTTTTTGTTTGGATTAAAATAATAATATTTATGTTACTATGTAGTATGTAACATGAAGAGATTATTGGGTTTGTAAAATTTTCATGGTTTTTCCAAAAATCAGAAGTAAACTATAATAATGCTAATTTTTAACCACAGTGTATGTTAGATTTTGATTAAATTAATAACTGTTTTCCACACCTAACAATAAATTGCACGACTGAGACAATGAGACAACACATTTAGGTTTGGCGTCCTCTTAAGATTTTTTTATTATCGATTGACTATATATTAGATCTATGTTAATTTGTAAATTTAAATGGATATTGATATTTTATTGTTTTGCGACATTGTTATGTTATATTGTCAAATATATTATTATCTATGATTTTTAAAATAGACAATTTTACTCAAAGATTAGTCAATAGCAAACAATTTACTTGATTTGTCTTGTCTATGTAACATCTGACCGAAGACAGAATATTAACTATGTGATGACATCTTCTTAATGGGAATTTAGGGAGAAAAAAAGCAACAAAAAATCCAAACTGACTTATTGATCTATAAAAATTAATTATTTTTATTAATTCTATAATAATCTTATACCTACCTACTCATATGTAATAATACTGGAAAAATACATTTTTTCCTTGCTATTAATTATTACCAGGGCCGTCCCGAATAGCATTTTTTTTTTTTTGAGGGGGGGGGGGTGGTAGACCTATTAATTTGTTGACTCAAAACTTAATATTTTGCATTACAATTTATATTAGTATTATAGGAACCTATTATAATATATATTATACAGTGTGATCACAGTTTTAGGTACCACTGAATATCTCAGATGGGTGACTTTGTATTGATATAGGGTTTTTGGGAGGTGATAGGGAGCACTTAAATACATATTTTCAGAACAGTTTCAAATTGTTAGCTTACTCGGTATGCTCATTCGTGATTTTTCCATATTTTGTCAATTTTTGATCTTTAAATGCTTATAAAAAAAACTGTGACTAAGGATTTTTAATATTTTTCATCTGCCTTTGAAACAATATACTAGGAGCCTTCTATTAAATTTTCAAGTTTTTTTACCTAACAAATAAAATATTGATATTTCTAGAAAAAAAACTAAAAAAAATGAAAAATGAAAATGTCCTTAAACAGTTCAAAATAAATCAAAATATTTTATCGTGTATAGAAAATGCAAATATAAACAACCAGTGAAAATATCATGTATCTACGGTCATTTGTAAGTTACACCAAAAACCAAATTCAATTTTCTGAAAAATCGATTTTGCGTAAAAATTCCCGTTTTTCCTTAATTTTTCTTCTGTTTTTCTTGGCGCTTTTGAAAAGTACTAGGAATTTTAAATTTTGACCTCCCCAATGCACCAACGATATTCACTTTCCAATAGTACAAGATACTGAAGTTGAAAATCGAAGCATTATTTCGACTACTTATCGTGTACACAGATACTAAAAAAATAAAAAAAACACATCATAGTAAAATCAATACATTCATCGTTTCACTCAGAATCTAAAAACAGTTTTATTATGTTCAAATTTGGTCGAAATTAGATATTTAAACGAAAAAGAATGATTTTAGTTTTGTGTAGGAATATTTTTCATTTTTATTGTCAATATTCATTATTATTATAATAGCATAAATATGCAAATATGTTAAGACTTATGAATAATATGAAAAAAAAACATATAGGTAATATAAAAAATATAGAGTTGATGCCTATGGTACCTACAGGACAAGATGTTACCACTTACCTTAGACGAATAGTTGAATAGACAACTATCAACTGCAAAAGTTAAAATTGCAAAAATTTTATAATACCAAGAATAAATCAATAGAATATCTATGGGTTAAGTGTTGTACAGTCGCGCAATACACTGATAGTAGATAAACTTGTCCATTTTTGGAATTGGGGTATTTAAAATGTCGTTTTAATCAAATATCAAATATACATATAATATTTTTTGAAAATAATAAAACTACTATTAAATATTAACAATGTCGAATTGCCGAAAACTTTGACCAAGTGCTAAATTTGCCGACTAAATATTTAAAAAAAATCTTGACCCCCAAGACCCCCTCAAAGGAAAACCCTGGTTATTACTTATTACTGGTTAAGGCTTGGTTGAGAGCAAACCATTTTTAAGGTCAGGTTACTCAATATTCTATAATATCCTTTGTGACTGTGTGTAGTGACTGATCATTAGTGTGGGTAAGTTCCCTGAACGCTTTATTTAATTAAAGATAAACTAATATTCTTTGAAATCATTATTATCAATATGATTTTGAAATTATTATAATCATGTGATCAAGCCATATAGCCAGGATTGTTATAGAAGTTGTTTAAATTTAATATTTAATTACACCCTGGGGGGGGTTGTTTTAACACCCAAAATATTCCCCAATGGCTATGCACCTCCATATGATAACATGATCACTTATTATAAATAAATATATGTTGAGTTTTGAGTATTGAACTAAATTTTAAAGTTAAAAGTTTTGTTTATAAATCAGCAGTTTTATGAATATATTTATTTTTGCAGGATGAAATAAAAAGCATTGAAAATAATGCTAAAAATTGTGAAACACCAATAAACTGTCTTAATGTAAGTATAATGTCCTATATTATTATATGATTAATACAATTAATCTTATTGAAATAACCTAATTTAATTTGAACTAAGCTACATTATATGGAATATGTCCTAGTGCTATTTTGGACCTCCTTATCATAGGATGGAATTTATATTGTTATGGGGCTAAACACCCCTCCACCCATATATTATCTCCATATAGACACCTTATAATCTAATTTATGATCAGGATCTATAATGTTTTACAATATGCACTAGGTGCCCTATAATCTTAAGAATAATATTTGATATTAACTTTTTATAATTATAACCGTATAATTTCAACAACCATGCAATTTTTGTATAATATATTTCTCTGACATGTGATAAGCATATTATATTTTGTATTCTTATAATTTAAATAGGTCAATAATTTTATTAGATGAACCATAATGAATCAGTACCAGCTAAATACAGTATTGGTAGCATGATTTATGGGTAGCCCAGGAGGTGTCAAGCACCTTCGAATTTTGCTCAAATGATTTAGAAATAACATGTATATAAATAAATAATTTATAAAATTATGAGAAATTCAGCCTTTGATAATAAATACAAGTATCTACTGTAGTATTTATTGTAATCAATGCTTGCATTGCTTCAATTTTATTTTATAACATCTAGCAGTTCCATTTGTTCTGTTTATTAGCTATCATTTAACACATTAAAAGTTACCACAGTCCACAGACTGATAGTTTTTATCTTAATACAAACTGGTACCACAAAATAAAATGTATTTTATTATTTTTGAAGTTTACCTATTATTATTAAGTATAAATAAAAAGTAAGAAATAACATTCTCGTTATCTATTTAGTAATTGGTAACATTGACTAACGAGTAAGTATCTATATTTATATAAATAAATATACTGGATGCGGCAGTCAAACCCGACAATTTAAAATGAACTGGTGGGCTTGGCTAGAGCGGTGGAGATTTTGGGAATGTTCTTATCGCTTTTAAATAATCGGAATTTAGTAATCATGGAGCATTAGTCGAGTGAACAGCGTGCGTTCGTGGTAAAAGCGTATTACAAAAGTAATGATATATGTAATAGTACTGTGTGGCTAACCAAGGAAGGCATTTGCCTGGCAAAATCTTTAAAAAATTAAGTTTTTAAATATATAACATAAAATTCCACTTGTGTACTTTTTATTTATTTGGCGAAAAATTAATAAAAAATTATTTTTCTATTTTTATTTTTTCAAATCGTCTGATTTGACTGCCGCACCCTGTATATATATTTACATATAACATAATGTTTTGCTTTCTATCTGCCACCAATATACCATGGTTTTTGTGAGCTAGTACAACACAAGCTTAACAAACGTTAGTGGCTTGATTATCTTTAGTATTACAGTTTACTGCAGACTACTATGTGGTAAATTTGTTGATTAATTTATGAATTTTGACATAAGTACTACGGAACATGAGTCAAGCACATATCGTTTATGCATTATATGTCACTTTTTGCACTGTACTCAATTGATTATTACTTGTGAGAAAACATTAATAAAATAATTGAATAAAATGTGGTGTGTAAAGCATGTTATGCAGGGAAAAATAAAGGAGAGTTTATTGTAAGTTACAGATAAAAAGCATGTTAAACAACTCTTATTTTTTGAAAAATATTGATTTTTATTCTTATAATAATAAACTATGCATTTGTTCCTTTGATTAGAAAATATAATTGTTTTATGTATTGCATGCTTGTTATAATAGTAGACTATTGATTTAAAGGTAGACTGTATACTATATACTCTTAAGAGGATGTAACACTGGTATTTGTTGTCTCCGTCTTACAAGTGCGTAACATGGCAAATTTAAGCTCAACAGAACACGTGTAGCATCGTTAGTTTAAAAATTTGAGTGAATTGACCTATTATGAAACTTGATAGTAAGAATATTATCTGTGTTTGTATGTTGGTTTTCTACGATAGTTCAATTTTTTAGCAAGTTATGCGTACATAATTTACCGTTAATTAAAAATTCTCATAACTCACTTAAAAACTGAATTATCGTAAAAAACCAATATACAAACACAGATAATGTTCTTACCATAAAGTTTCATAATAGGTCAATTCATTTTAACGTTTAAACTAACGAAACTACAAGTGTTCTGCTGAGCGTAAATTTGCTATGTTACGTACTGGTAAGACGGAGATGACAAATACCAGTGTTACGTACCTTCACATCACCAATTTGACTATGTACATTACATTTTAAAAACCTGCCGTATTATGATTGGTAGTTATGCATTCAAAAATCAAAGGTCACCTAGTAATTTCTATACAAACATTTTATTAATATTTTATATTTCAGGGTATTCAAATAGAAAAAGAAATAGTAAGCATAAATTCAGAAATGAAAGAAATCACAGATTCAGAAATAAAAGATATCATAGATCAGGAAGTATTGGAAAAAGAAAAAGAAGTTATAAAACAAGTGAGTTAGTTGTTAATATGTTAATACTTATTAACATTTGAGGATAGAATTTATTGTTGTACATGCACTGAAAACTCACTTGTCTAATATCACAACAATTATTTACTTCAATGTATTTATTTATTTTGTATGGCTCACTAACAAACACATATCATATACTTAGTCATAATCACAATAAGTATCACTATCATGGTTTTAATTAAAAGTTTAAATTTATAGGTCATGAGTATAGTAATTTGATTCATTCTGTAGCTTCCGAGGTGATATTTTGGATACCAGTCAGGCCATGAGCGAAGAGTTGTTTTGAACCCTCCACACTATGTGATCCATTGTTTGCTTGGTCTCCTTGCAGTCGCACAAAGGATCATCTCTGTACTTACATTTGTGTAAAGGGTGTCCACACCTCCTTTGCCCTGTTCTGGTACGATTCACTGACAACCATATTCGCGTAATTGCGTTAGCAGATATATTCCCTTTGAATTTTACAAGATCACAAGATTTTACAATATCTACAAGCTCCTGTTTTCTGACTTCAGACTGCCTATTCCTTTTTCCATGTCACGGAGCCACAGAAGATTGAACTTATTACATTTTCAGCAGTGACACACATTTGGGTTCCCTTGATTTGTACTTAACTTACTTAACTCACAGTAGTAAGTTTTTGTTTTCTTAACATTTCTTTATTATCATGATCAATGATTTATTCTTTTGAATATGAAGTGAAGTAATGTTTGACAAGACGGGCAACCACTGTTTTTGAGTCGACTTTACGGAACCTATTATAATATTCTCATAGCTTTATTCAATTGTGCGTCGATTCATTTTACTATTGTGAGCTATCCACTGGGGCACCGTACTCAGCCGTACTGTAGACCAGTGCCATGGTCGCCGTTCTCAGGGTCTTTGCATCTGCCCCCCATCCAGTTCCCGCTAGTCTTATTATATTTACTTGTGATCTTACTTTCCTCGATGTATTTTCAATATGGCTATTATTAAAAGGCAATGTTCTATTTAGAGTTATTCGGAGATATTTTGGAGTAGGGTTATGACCAACTCGGAAGTTTTTGAAGTCTACTTCTAGCTCTATTTTTACTTGCTTGTTCGTCAAGTGAAAAGCTTACACCTTGGTCTTGTTGGGTTTTAGTTTTAGCCGCCAACTTCAAAAATATCTGTTCAATTCATTTAGGTTTTCATTTAAAGTCTCTTTGCCCTGGGTCAAATCTTTGGATTGACATGATATTGCGATATAATCTGAAAATTGAAATTTCTTACCTACGTTTAAATTTACATACAAGTTGAACAAAGTGGGTGGAAGCACGTTTCCTTGGGAAAGTCCATCATTCATTCTGCAACATTGACTTTCCTTGTTTCCCATGAAGACCTGAAATTGTCGGTTTGATAGCATCTTGCCTTTGAGTTCAACTGTTGTCTTACTGGTTATTGTTTAGCTAATTTCAGCATAAGACCATGCCTCCACACAGTATCATATGCAGCCGAGAGGTCTGTAAATGCCATGCTGGTTTTTAACTTATTCTGATGTCTGTTTTCTATAAATGTTGTAAGTGCTATAAACTGTTCTAACTCTCTTAGCCACGAGTGTTCAACAGGTACTATTTTATTTATAGCTGGCTGTATCCGTTCTAATACTAGTCTCTCTTAGTGATGTGCCACTAGGAATATTCTCAGAAACAGGGAATATTCCCCAACCTCTCGGGAAATTTCTTTTAAAAAAAAAATTTGAATTTTGAAGTTATTCAGTATTTCAATTTCAGTATGTTTATTTTTTTTTTCAACATATATAAATGAAAGTTAGATTGTTTATTTTGTGATCATTGTACAGATTTTAGTTAAAAAATCAAATTATAGTTACTTAATAACTTTTTTTTAAAGAATAAATATCTAAACTGACATAATATTAATAAAGAGCTGTCATTTGGGTCAATTATAACCATGAGTTTAATTTAAAACTGAAACCTATGATCAATGCTTAAAAAACTTACTATATTTCCGGGAAGTTCCTGGTGTTGGGAATATTCCCGAAACTATATTCCCGGGAATTTGCCCATCACTACTCTCTAGTCTCAATTGAAGTTACCCTTAAGTCTTAAGGTTATTATTGGCTATTATTTAAGGGGAACAATTTAGGAAATTTCTAATTTTGTGTTAGTTGTAAATGATTATTAGTGCGGTTCTAAGTGTGTAAAATATAAAATTAGAATTTTGAAGAAATTTGAACTCAATAACAATAGATTTCACATTGCCCGACTGCAGGCAAACGGGGCAACTATGTTCCATAGCACACGTTCAGCGCATGCACAAGTCAATGAAGCACTCAAAAAATATTTTTGTACACTCGCGACCATGAATAATGCTAATAAACTGGTAAAAAATTAACATACTTCTAGCAATCCAATTTTAAATTTGAAAAAATATTTGAATTTGTCAGCCTTTTTTCTATGATTTGTAGAAATAGTTACGACTTGTGAATTATAATAAAAAAAACTATTACATTTGTTTATCATGAATATATTATAATAATTAATAATGTTATACTGTAATAAAAGTAATTAAATTATTATATTAAATAAAAACAGTAAACAAACAACAATAAATGCATGGATATTTAGACTGGATTCTCGATATATCTGCTTACTCTCTTTGGTGTACAATTGATGATAACAGTGTAATTGTTCACCTTTTTTTAGTATCATTTTTTTTTTTTAAATAATAAATAATATTTACTTTATTGTACATAAAAAAACATTAATCGTACCAACATTTCCAAGTAAAAGAGCATTTTTAATGATATTAATATTATTCATAAATAATTTATTAATATAATACAATATACATAATATATAAACATGTATTCTTAGACCACACTATAAATCATCTTTCTATAGTTCTATATTATCTTATATAAGAGTAACCTCTGGTGGTGGTGGGACTTTAGAATACGGAAATGAATGCTTTACTTTCATAAGCATCACTTTATTATTCTAATGTCCATCTAGCGTGCATTTCCTAAGACTAACAGCAATTTTTTTTATTGTAGCTGATGGTTAAAAAACGACTGCTAATGACGAAAACCGATTTAATCTATGGGTGTGGTCTGAAATTCAGTCACCACTGAGGTTATTTTTATAGGAGACATAGTAATAAATTCAATTATCCTGATATTTATTTAAAATTAGTATGTTTTTAGCAATGCTTTTACCATGTTTGTTTTCAGTTATATGTTTTAACATTTTCATACATTAATAAAAATCATTTTTAATATCTATTATATGCGTATACTGTGTACCAGGTGATTTTTTTACTATGAACCCCTCATTATTTCAAAAATGATTAATTAATTATTATTTAAATACAAATTTTTCATAGTTTCTATTCAATAAAAAACAACACTTTTACTTTTTTGAATGACAAAATAGTTTTAATTTCATATTCCAAAGCAGAATATTTTTTTAAGTATTTCTGAAAATGAAATTAAAATTGTTTGTTGTTATTCAAAAAAAAATTTTAAATATATCATTTTTTAAATAACCTTGTTTTATACTTGAATCCATGCAAAAAAATATTTTTAAAAACTTAAATACTTTTTTAAACAATGAGAGTCCTTCATTAAATGAACCCCCCGGTTAATAATTTTATATAATTTTTTTTTTAGATATTCCCGATAATGTCTTTAAAGAAAGAAACTTTAAATGACGCACAAGAAATTATTGGTTCATTGATTTATTACAAATCACCATTTAACTTTAGTGTGAGACAATACAATCCAAATTTTGAACCTCTTATGGACCACATTAAATCTATTTTGAACTCTCGTAATATTTTGAAAAAATGTGAACTTGTGGAAAATATGTATGTTATTTATCAGATTCAATCAAATTGTATATATCGTGCTAAAATAATTGAAATGGATTCTAAAATTGAAAGTTGGTTACTTCATTACTTTTAATTATTGTGTTCAACATGTTATCACTACTAAGCCAAACATAATTGTATTTATATATTTATAGAGATTAAATTGCAATTGATTGATGAAGGAGATAAAGTAGTCAATGAATATGTTGACAAAATCCTATTGTACAATTTTGTTGAAAGTGATTGTAATGTACCTGAACAATTAGTAATAGATTGCTCATTAAGTGACATGTGGTTCCCTGTTATAAATATTGATATTACATTAATGTTACAACCACACTTTAAAATAGGTCAACTATATAAGGTACTATTACTAAAAACTAATGAGTCTGGTACTCAAGTAGTGCAGATGTTTCATAAAGATACCAATGTGGATGTTTCGAATACTATACTTCAGTCTGGAATTGGGCAACGTTTAAATTCTGCTATGAAAACCGGTAAAATTCATAATATTATAAATTTTTTAAGAGTATCTTCTATAGTATAATATATTGTAGATTTTATTTTGAAACTATAATAGTTTATTACTTAGTATTAATAAAACTACAACTATTGATGTTATTTAGCCATTTAAGTGAATGTTATGGCACACACAACTAGATTTAAATAATAATACAATTTAAATTAAATTGGGGGACAGAGCGGCCGAGCAGACTAAGGCATCGGTTCTAACGTGCACGCCCAGTTTGAATCCTGGCCACGGGCAGCATTGCTCTATGGGCAGGCAACTGCTTAGACGGTGAGACCGCCATCCCCCAACCGGGCATGGCAGAAACCTACAGGTGCCAATTAGAAATTCTGCCATGTAAGCATCCAAACTAGGCCTTCGGGCCTAATCCTGGACACAGCGCTATATGCACAAAAATAAAAATCAATTAATTTTTGTTGTAACTGCTGTTTCCAGGAAATATAATATAAATTTAAATCATATTGATGGGCAATAGTATAGTACTACTCTATTAGTTAGTGTTAGCTGTTTCTAATAATATGTTATCTGTAATGTTATCAATAATTACTGACGACAGTTGTTTATTTTCGTTCTAAGTAAATTTAAGATTATATAGTATCACACAGTATAACGAATAACACTAGATAATCAAATAATAGTTTATATATAATTTTAAAGAACTGCTATAACAGTGGTAAAATCACTACTTCTACATTATTAGTATGTAACTGCGTTTCTAATGGTACTTAAAAAATAATATTCATACTGTCCATCAATGTGTTAAAACAATTAATTACATAGGTACTCTCTTTAGATCCATATTTTAAATTCCATAATTTAATTTTATATTTGATAAATGTTGTCAAAATTCGAGCTTTAAATGCTTTTAAAAAAAAAATTGTGACTGTATTTTTAATATTTTTCAACTGCTATTGTAACAATATATCAGGAACTTTGCATTACATTTTCAAACTTGGTTACCCGACAAATAAAATTTTATTGATATTTGTAGAAAAAAAAACTAAAAAAATTGAAAACTGAAAATGTCCGTTAACAGCTCAAAAAGAGTCAAAATATTTTCAAAATTGTATGGTGTATAGAAAATTCAAATATAAACAATCAGTGAAAATTTCATGTATATACATTCATTTGTTTTAGAGTTACACCAATAAGCAAATTCGATTTTCTCGAAAACAAATTTTGGGTAAAAATTCCCGTTTTTCCTTAATTTTCCTTTTGTTTTTCACGGCGCTTTGGAAAACTACTGGAAAATTGTTACTTTTGACCCCCCCCCAAAGTATTTTTACTGTCCTCAAAGGTGATGACAGACTAAAAAAAAAAAAAAAAACACATCATTGCAAAATCAATACATTCATCGTTCCACTCAGAATCTAAAATTATTATTTATCATAATATCATATTCTTTCATTTTTTAACTGTTAATTAATTTTAATAGATGAAAATCCATATGAAGAAAACCTATTAATAGGACAAAGTTTTGTCGCATATGTTTATAACTATCATTTAAAACTCAGAATTCAACCAGAACCAAATACTGTCGATGAACTGGAAGAAGAAATAGTAAAACATATTAATGAAAATCCGGTTAGTTGACTCATGCTTGTTAATAATGATTATGTTATCACTATAATTCAACCACAATTTGTTTAATTTGTAATGCACAGGACTCTGAATCAATGGATATCAATTGTTTAGAAAATACATATTGTTTGGCAACTGTCGATAACGATCAATGGTATAGAGCTTATATTAAAAACATAAATGAAGAGTCCATCATAGTAAACATGTTCGATATTGGTTTATTGACTGATGTTTTATTAAATCAGGTATTTGTTTTTTTTTTTTTTTTTCTATTAATCCAAATTATTGTTTTAATTTATTTATAATTAAGGCTCGGAACTATATAATATCCAAAATCTGATTAGATAGAAATTTGTTTCATGATTTATACAGTTGTAGTATAAAATTTGATATTGCATATTTTAGAATATTTTATTAAATTTATATGATTTTACATATTTTAAGATTTTGATCATATTAATGCATATTATTATTTTGTTTATAATTTATTATAAATCAACACCAAACAAATTTTCAATACTATACTAAGTATTAATTATAAATTTGTTATGGTTTGCACTGTCGTCTTATTTAACATTTATTCAATAAAAGAAAAATATTTTTATAATCATAACTCGTTGGGGTACCTGGATTAATACCATACATAATAAATAATTATGCTTTTTTCTAAGTTTATCCCCTTATAAATACATATTTTATAAAAAAAATAATTGCATATTTGTACTTTTTATTGTACATATGCACACAATTTTCCATTGTTTTTAGCGCAGAAAGTTCCGAGCCCTTCTTATACTTATTTTTCACTTAATCGTTTATACAGTCGAGTTTCGATGACTCAAAGGAAATAAAAATAAATTGGCTTGGGTATTTTTTGAGATATACTCCTCAAACACATCTTAAAAACAGTTCAAGGACCAAAAAAAAAACTTTGAGTTATCAAGACTCAGTAGCGTATCCAGAATTTTTTTTCGGGAGGGGTTATAATTTATTTTTGTGGAATTTTATCTTAAAATGATTTATTAATGATAACGTTGTTATAATTTAACAATTTTCGGGGGGGGGGGTTACAACCCCCAAACCCCCCCCTGGATACGCCACTGTCAAGACTAGACTAATACATTTAATACAGTAATCTTTAAAAGAATATATTCAAAACTGTTTAGATTCGACCAATTACAACTAATTTAATGAGAAGACCTCAGCTCTGTTTGAATTGTCATTTGGAAAGTAAAGACTTAGATATTAAAATTACTGAAAAAATATTGTATAACATAACAGTAAAATCTATCGATCCTAATGGAGTGTAAGTTACACATTTTAGAATTATGTTTTAATGTTTTTTGGAAATAGGTAGGTTAATCATATTATGTTATATTTGTCAAACACATACAAACAAGAAAAACTACTCTTTACATTTATAATTTTGTAACCAAACTGATTCTAATTTTAGATTATTGTTATCGGTGAAATTTAAATTATAAAAATTAAAAACTTACTGGATAATAATAGTTAATTTACTATGACATGAGTTAATATTTTTTGATTTTCTAGGTTATGTATAAATATAAAAGAACATTATTCTGCTCCACTTTCCTCTCCAATTGTTCGGGGAATTGAGAAAATATCATTTTTACACGTTGATGGTGATTTGACTTACTTGCAGAGATCTCAAGATATATCTAAGGTTGAAAAAATATCTGAAAATCTATCAAAACTTTCTGGTAAATTAGGAAGTAAAGCTTCCATAGCACCGGGAGACATAAACATGTTTGAAAGCCATGGTAAATATTATAGATGTGTAGTTAAATCAATTGATTCCAAAATAGCAGTTGTACATTGCATTGACTTTGGTTATGAAAAGCTAATAGAGAAGAAAAAGCTACAATGTTTGGGGCTTATTAAAATAGCATTGTTACCAGCACTTGTCATCACTGTTAAAACATTTCCAATGGCATTTAATATGTCTAGAACAATGTTCCTAGCTAATATGCATGTAGACAACGACGGAACGCTTAATGCTTCACCAAACAAAATGACATTAGTACAGTCGCAAAACAAATTAATGGAAACCCTTGAAAATGGTTGTTTAGTGAGAGTTACATGTATTAACTCTGACAGTGACTGTTGGATTGTTCCACATTTACTTAATGATAAGCTAAAGATTATTTCGGATGTTCTTGTAAAAATGCAATCAAAAATGATACCAGCTGTAACTGAAATTGGTTCCTTATGTGCTGCATTACATTCAATAACAAAAAAATGGCACAGAGCTTTGATATTGGATATCGATGGAAGTGCTAAAAATGTTTTGTCAATAGATTCAGGTGAACATTTCAAAGCATTAAAAACCACTAAATTGGTTAGTGAAATTCAGAAAATACCAAATTGTGCCTTGCGGTGTCAAGTGGTATCAAATGTTGACATTAATACACTTTTAAACAAAGATGTTGAATGTAAGCTAATATCTTATACTCAGTCGCTACTTGAGGTGAAATTATTTGAAAATTACATTAATAACGAATCAGAAATTACTTCTACTGTGTCAACTATGGAGTGGTGTATTACCATCAGTAGGTTTGAATCATATGACGAGTTTTATGTAAATAAAGCCAAAGATGAATGTGGTTCAAATAATCAAAATGTGGACATACAATTAAATTATATTGCTAACAACTTAGATGATTTTCTACAGCCACCACCTATCGGTACACTAGTGGCAGCATTGACTGATAAAAATGATGGTTTATGGTATAAGGCTGAAGTGTTGACGCCCATTAAAACAAATCTAGTTGTTCGCATCTTTAGTGATGGAAGTGTTTGTAAAGCAATACGAATAAAAGTTCTCCCGAGTATCTTTTGTGATGAAAAATTGTATTTTCGCTGTTGCCTGGATCAAGAAATTGTGGATGCTAACATTAGTGATCCCTTAAATTATGATGTTATATCAGAAATGATGATGAAATATAAATGGAAAATGACAACAACAAGTATCACTGAACCATACAGAGTGACATTGATAAGTCATCTTGATGGTGTACATTGTTTAGATCTGGTGGATACAATTTTAACTATAGATCACCATGACATTTCTGATAGCAGTAAAATGTCAGAAAATGGCCCCATTTTGAGGAATATTGTACTTGACGATCATTCAAAATCAAATTTGGAAAATCAGTTAAATAATATTCCAGAGAAAAAAAATAATGAAAATAATTTGATTATACCTGAAGTAGAAATTGTGGTTGTCAAGTATATTGAAACATTCCAATATTTTTATGTGGAATCTGAGAGTTTGGCAATGTTGTATACGTCACGGATCTCCGAAGACTTGGATTTGAGCATAATTGAATTACCTTTAAATGGTTGTATGGTTGGTTACATTGTTGTTACACACAGTATTCATTTTAACTGTTGGTGTAGAGCCAAAATAGAAATAATCACTGATGGTATCAGTGCTAAATGTTATCTATTGGATTTTGGTGAATATGAAGAATGTACTGAATTCTATAAGCCTACAGAATTCCTTTGCATGTGCCCTCCACTGGTAAGACGCTGTTCGTTGTATGCTCCAAAGTTAGCTGGCAAAGAAAATGAAATTTGGTTCCCTAATGTTAATGAAATGTTTAAAGACATTACAACAATTGATGGTATTAAGTTTAATATGATTATAAAAACCCAGGGAGATCCTTGTGTGGTCTCTTTGGAGCTAGACAATTCTGACGTTGGTGAAATGATGTATCCTCTATATGTTCATTTGTTACATGTTAAGTCTTTTAATGATTTCAAAATCAAAGCAATATCCAGCGATCAGGAAAGCATGACCCAAATGTTGGAAAAGTATATTAATACATCAAGTATGGTGGAGGTACAAAACCCTAAAGTTAATGAGTTGTATCTTACTAAAATCAAATCGAAATATGTACGTGTGAAGCTTGAATCATATAGCGGTTCTAAGTATTTAATCGTTGACATAGATGATACGTTGAATCTTATATCTGTAATGAATTTATATGAACTACCAGAAAATATACGCCAAATTCCTATGTTATGCATGTCCTGTTCCTTGATTCTTGATGATAAAAAAGAAAAGTATAGTTTGAGTAACTTCCAAAAGTTGGCAAACCCCAATGTTACATTCATTATGTGCATCATTACAGAGAATGATGGTACAACTCCAAATCAAGTTAGACTTTATCTTGATAACAAAGACGTTCTTGATTTTATAAAATTACAATAAATTAAGTGTTCATAAGTTATATTTATTTAATCAAATTTTAAAGTACAAAGTTTTTTAGTTACTAATTTTTTTACTACAAAATATAAGGAAGTTATTGTTATTATATTATAAAATTAAATTCTCTTATTTTATATTTTTTCATGTTCTATCATTTGATTGTTCTAATTAAATTAATTTATAAAAGGTATTTATAACATTTGTTTGTTTTTTTACTTCTTATAACCTTAGCTTATAAAAAGGGAGCAGATTTCAATGCAAATTTAATTTTTTTCTGAATGTCTTAAAACAAGCACATAATAATTAGTTTTGATAAAATTTATTTTGATTTCTGCCTAAAATAAAAAAAATTTGTATTTCTATTTTTTAAGTGTATTAATTGGTTGATTTACGCACTTGGCAGTTAATCGCGAGTGTTGTTACTTGTTATCTTCGGAAGACAGAAACTTGGTGGTTAACGGCGTGAAATAAAGTTTTTTAAGGCATTTTCTTGCTTTTTAGAGAAATTAAATCTGCTCCCTACTTATGAATTATGATTATAGAGCATAAAGTTTGATCCATATATTATGTAGATATACCTGAAGGACTGTAAAAATTATATTATTATTATTATTTTTATTCAGCCAAAATAATAACAATTAAATAAATTAATAATAGCTGATACGAATACCAACAGAGATATAAGCTCGTATCTGGTATACGGAGTTCATCGATATTACAATTTGTTTAAAGTAAATACTAATAATAAATATATAATTAATGAGCATAACATGATAAAAAAAACTTTAGAAACAAATATGTACATCAGCATTACATATTATAGGTACATATTAATATATTATAAGATGTTATATTTAGACATACTGACTTTTTATGATTTTATTAATACACACATTATCATCAAGATCACTAACTATTTTATTTATTGCTTTTTTATTTGATTTTTATAAATTATATAAATTATATCATTGGTATTATTAGATTGACTTTTACATAAACTTTTTATTAGACTCTTTACTTTTTTATTTAAATTAATAATTTTGACAACCCGTGTGGTTTGAGTGTTGATTCTCCACCAGGAGATTTGATTTGTCTTACTTAAACTGTTCGTCTGTTCCACTTGTAAGTTTTTTCATCAATGACATGTTGAATACATATTATATAGGATATATTGTGACATCATTCTTTTGAATATATGTAGTAAAAAGAATTCTTTCACATGCAAAATATTTCAGCGACAGTGATTTATATTTATTATAATTTATAGTATATAATACATATTATGGTAATGAAAAGGAATTCTTATAATTGGTAAAATATAATATTATATAACTGGTATGTTGAGATTATTTGATCGGATAAAAAAGTAACAAAAATTTCGCGGGCCTGTCCGGGATTTGAACCCGGGACCTCCTGCACCCAAAGCAGGAATCATACCCCTAGACCAACAGGCCACCCGGTAATAATTTAAAAATACTGTCATTTAAAAATACATAGGTTCAGAAAGAAGCTTTTATATTTATATAAAGGGCAGAATTTAGTCAATTTCTAAAAAAAGATATATATATATAAATTGATTGCTAAAATATTGTATGTTATAATGTTTTCTATTTTATTGTGTGATTATTTTTCATTCTCCAAAATTAAAAAAAAAAAAAAAGCTCGGCAGAAAAATAAAATTGGTAGCCGATAGGTGTGCCCTAGATACAGATACCTACCGTAAAATGGGGTAACTCCGGAAAAAATAGTTTTTCATTTATATTGGTTCTTTCTCATAAGGGAATTGATAAATATTGTATGTAGGTATTTCGAACGAAAAAAAACTACGTTGATAGACTCCTAAGACCTACTTCCAATTTACATTGATTATTGATATTATCAACTATCAAGGTAAACGTTTCATATTAAAAAAAAACTCTTATTTTTATAACTCAAAACTGAAAGTCATAAAATATTGTGTGTTAAAGTTAATTAATATTAATTAATGATGCATGGTTTTTTCAATGAATTTTGTACACTAAACAAGTTACCTAATTAAGAAAAATCTAGGAAGTGGCTTTATGGGTTTAAAAAAGCCGTGTTTTGTGTGTAACTTTGGCCACCGTTGATTTATGAACTAATAATGAATATTAAATGAAAACTTTATTTAGTTTTTTTGTTATGCACCTAAAATAAATTCCTATATTTCTTAAATTTTTAGATTCTGAGTGGAACTATGCATGTATTGATTTCACAATGACGTGTGTTTTTTTTTTTTGTGTCTTTGTACACGATAAGTAGGTACCTAGTCGAAATAATGCTTCGATTTTCAACTTCAGTCTCTTGTTCGATTGGAAAGTGAATCTAGTGGGTGCATTCGGGAGATCTTATTTTAAAATTCCCAATAGTTTTCACAAGCGCCGGGATTAAACATATAAAAATTAGGGAATAACGGGAATTTTTATGCAAAATCTGTTTTCCAAAAAATCAATTTTGGTTTTCGGTGTAACTCTAAAACAAATAAACCTATATGCATGACATTTTCACTGGTTGTTTATATTTGCATTTTCTATACACGATAAAATTTTAAAAATATTATGATTTGTTTGAACTGTTTAGGGACATTTTCATTTTCCATTTTTTTTTAGTTTTTAGTCTAAAAATATCAATAAAATTTTATTTGTTGGTTTCGAAAGCTTGAAAATTTAAAAGAAGGTTCCTAGTAAGTAAATTGTTTCAAAGGCAGATGAAAAATATTAAAAATCCTTAGTCACAATTTTTTTTTATAAGAATTTTAAACTGTTCAAATTAATTGTAAAAATATGGAAAAATCACGAAAATTAGCGAATTATTTTGAGTTAAGGATTCGTAAAAATTTTTCTTTTTAAATCTAAGATTTGAAAATGTAATACAAGATTACTCATAAGTTGTCTACCTTTATCAATAAAAAAATCTCTACCGGAAAGTCATATTAAATTTTTATGAGCGTTTGAAATTCAAATTTGTACAACATTGGATATTCACTCGATTTCTCATGTAGCGATTTCCTTATTTTGTTGTTATTCATAAACGAATTACTATAGATACATGAAAATTTCACTGAATGTTCATATTAGTATTTCCTATACACTGTACAATTTTGAAAATATTTTGACTCTTTTCGAGCTGTTTACGGACATTTTCAGTTTCCAATTTTTTTAGTTTTTATTCTATAAATATCAATAAAGTTTTATCTGTTAGGCCAAAAAGTGTAAACATTTAATACAAGGCTCCTGATATATTGTTACAATATCAGTCTAAAAATATTAAAAATACATAGGCACAATTTTTTTTTTAAGCATTTATAGACCGAATTTTGACAACATTTATCAAAAATAATCGAAAATTATCAATCATTGTAATTAATAAATTATAAAATGTTAAGTTATTATAGCTAAGGATTGCAAATTTAAAACAAAGGTTCTCATAAACAGTTCATACTGTAACCAAAAATTCTAAAAAAGGCAGGTAAGTGGATGTCGCTCAGCTGTACAGTAGGTTACAAGTTGGTCATTGTTTGATGCAGGGGTCTCCAAACCTTTTTATTCAAGGGCCACAAAAAAAATCAAATGCTCTTAGCGGGCCAAAAGTTTATCAACACATATCATTTTTAATTTTATAATAATATAGGTACCTACCTATATAAATAATATGTTTATTTTATATTTTTGTATAAAATATTGTTCATTTTACAATATACTTAACTAAAAATAAATAGGTATAAATATAATATAATATAAATACATTTTTGAAATAATTTTTTTATTTATATTTACCTATGCGTCCTATGTGGGCCACGGGCCGGTTAAAACTTGTTCGCGTGCCGTAGTTTGGAGACCCCTGGTTTAATGGATTGTATTAAACTTGAATTCAATGATATAATATCATTGTATAAGAAAAACGATTCTGAACGGAGACGGTTTGTCAGTCTGTATATTTTATATTGTCATTAATTATTATAACATGTAAGTTGTTTTAATACTATAAACATGATATTTATATAGATAATACCTACCTATTTTTTTTTTATTCGTTGCTACGGTGATAAACAAATTGTTAGAAACTAAAATCCCATTTTAAGCGGTTTTTCGTAATTTTTCAGTACTTTTTCCCGTGGCATTAAATAACTATTGAGAAAATCGAAAAATGACCTCTCTAAAGTACCATCTTGGTCCAATTTGCTAAAAGATAAGGTACTATATGTTGAAATCAAAGCACTCCTTCTGGTAGAAATTTTGTATACAGGATATAAAAAAAAAATAAAAAATAAACACCATTGTAAAACCACTAGCTTCCTTGCTCCGCTCAGAATCTAAAATATATGAAAACAGTTATTTTTTACAGACATTTTAAATTCAAATTTGGACGAAATTACATTATAAAAAACCTAGAATAACTATTTTAGTTATTTTGTTGTGATTTAATAATATTATTCGTGGGTACTTGAAACTTCTAAAGTATATACTATTATATATCTATGATAGTAGACTATCAGGGTTTGTTGTTGGTGTATAACGCGTTTATAAGTACCTAATGGATATTGTGATATGATTAATTTGGAATTCATTATAGGTCAATTTTTTTTTAATACCATAGATAATTATATAATATGTCTTATACCTAGAAGGACATACCGTCTCCGCTCAGAATTGTTTTTCTTATACAATGATATAATATCATTGAATTTAGATGTGGTACCATTCATTATACAGTCACTACCCACTTGTAACCTACTGTACAGCAGAGCGACACCCACTTGTCCACCTTTTTTTTAATTACCTATTTAATACAAAATATTTTTTTAAAGATTTTGATCTATAAACCCATTTTTACGAGGAACGAGAAAGATTCCCTTCTTTGAACTTTCCCAACATAGGTGTATTATTATTATTATTTATTTAAGAATTTGAGAAATTAGTGAACGTACCTAATGTTGCAAAATAAATAAAACGAAAAAAACAACAGTACCTAATTATAGAATATTA